ATGGACAGAGGATCTGTTTGCTGCTCCACTCATCAGAAGTTCCTATTTGAAAGTTCCCTACCATCAGCCCCACTTCTTGGTGCGACTGACAAAAGGATATCATAAAGTAGCTATTTTTTGCAAGGGCTGTAAACCTGCATTTGGATTTTTACAAGATCCCAGCCAGAACTTCTCTTCTAGCGACTGGCATGCTTGTGTGGAAGATTTTAAAGTTGAGGAGAGATAAATGTCCCCAAAGACCGTCTTAATGTGCTCGCGACCTGAGAAAATCGCAAGAGCAAACAAGGGCAGGCCAGAGCACCCTGGCAAGCCAGGCAAGATTCCAGGGACAGCCTGACATCCACGGTGCCTGCTCTTGCCCGCCTGTTGTGGTGTCCAGCTCACCAGCTGCTCCTGGTTCACCTCCATCTCATCTCAGTGCCTGCTTATTCTCTACCCTCACACAGAAACTCTCATCTTCTTGGTTCTGCTCTGAAAACTGTGGAGAAAGGGAGAGAAAGGATAGGATTGCTCAAGGGAGGAAGAGAGGATGAAAGATGAAAGAGAAGGAAGAAAGCATTGGAGGAAAACGAAAGAACAAAAGCTTTCATATAAAGGATCCTGATTTTGTGTGTGCGTGTATATCCATGTGTGTATGTGTGTGTGCGCATTTGTGCATGTGTGTGTACATACATGTGAGTTCGTGTGTGCATTCATTTGTGTGAACGTGCGCGTCAGTTTGTGTGTGTGCGCATTTGTGTGTGTGTGCACATGAGTTTGTGTGTGTGCCTGTGCGCACGTGTGTGCATATGTGTGTGTGTGCACGCGCGTGGTGGTAGCTCATGTTATATAGGTGCGCATGTGTGTGTGGAGACCAGAAGACACTCTTGGGCATTACATCACAAGCACCATCAGTCTGTCCACCTTGGTCAGGTGACCTGGAGTTTGACAAGAAGGCTGTTCGCTGGGCCTGTTTCTACCTTCTAATGCTGGGATTGCCAAGTGTATACCACCAAATACCTTAGTAGCATCTGAGGACCAAACTCAGATGCCCATGCTCATGAGGTGGACACTTAACTGAACAACCCTCAGTCCCCATACCATGTTTTCTTAACCACCGTTTGTTGGCTTGGCAATGAACCCCCAAGGGTCACCATTTTTTGCATTTTCCCCTTTCTCTGGGGTAGGGAGTTTGCTTTTTTCCTTTCTTCTCAAGCTTAAGTGCCAGTGTGCTCTAAGCCTGCCTGCGCTTAGGAGAGTTCAAGTTGCTTTTTGGTTTTAGAAATGGGGAAAGCTTTCGATTGCTTACAGGAAAAACTAGTCAGGAGGATTAAGCAAATGGAAACAACTCCTCACAGACCCCCCGGGTCTGCACCTCGAAAACCATGAGCCCAGATTCTCATTGGAATGGCTATCTGGCATTTGTCAGTTTGGAAATCTTCATTCATTTTGGAGCATGTTTGACATAGTGAATACTTTCTGTCCTAAGGGGAGATGGTGTTTTTCTAGAGAAGTAGTCAAATTGCTGCCAGGCAGCCATGCCAACTGATCGCTATGTTTATCTTACTTGAGGTAGAATTCTGGATCGGCAAAGCCAGCTGACCCCTGCTAAGTGGCACCAACGCAGGATTTCAGGCCCTCACCCCCCCCCCCCCCCCAAACAGCAGAGATTTTACTAATATCGGAGGGGAGTACTAGACCCGGAACCAAATTTTTATTAGGTTGGAGCTGCTGGGATTCTGGGTCCAGCTGGTGGCTCACTCTCTAACCTTGCAGTTCAAAGGATCTAGGAGTTGGGGGAAACCAGGGCATCATTAAAAGCAAGACACAGCTTCTGAAGTCCTGGATAAGGATATAGATTTAAAAAAAAATCTAGTACTTGGAGACAATTTAGAAGGTCGCTGTGCTCTAAATTTAGTAAGTCCTCAGGAAGGGAGAATATAGGTTGGCTGCGCTGCCTGAGTCCCACTTCCTTTCATTTTATTTTTGCATAGAAGAAGATTACCTTGTCCTCCTCTAACTAGGTTGATCCTCTGCACAGCACGATGTGCCATCCACACAAGCATTTCAGTTACGTCTAACTTTGGACAACGCCACTGAAGAAGGGGAACAATCTGAACGTGGCCTCAAACAACCTCAAGTGCATCCACGAGGTGCTCTTATTTCTCCTAATTCAAATGGGCTAGCCCCAGTTTTGATCCTGCTAAGTGAATGTTCAGGCAACACCAATGTGTTCCTAGAAAGGCTGGCCTTATTTTGGACAAGAAAAGCGTGGCAGGAAACAGTATTCTCCGTGAAACTTATAAACCTATGGGGACTGGTTGGAATATAAGCTCAGGATCTGTTGTACGTGGGCCAGCCTTTAATTGAGTACCATTGCTAATGAATTCTGAGGGGGTTAATAGACACTCATGACTTTAAACTCCGTGACTGCGTCTGAGTTGGAAGCGATTTATGCTGTTAATGGACATTTCAAGAGGGTAGGGAGCTTGTAGATCTCTCTGGGGACTGGCCTGGCTTTCCATGATTTTCCTCTTCTCCATGGTTCTCTGTGGGCCCATCACTTACTCTGTTCTTTTAAGGCAGCACATCTGAGGATTACAAAGAAATGAGTGTGTCCTCTACTTCTACACTCCTAGAGGATCACTGTCTACTGTTCGAGGGTCTTGGGGATCTTTTGATTGCCAGGACCTTGTCAAATTCTTGTGATCAAAAGGAATTGGGGAATAGGAAAATGCTGTTTTTTTTTTCTTTACATGTGACCCATTGTAGATAACCAACCCTGGATTGCTAAATTAAATCCATCTCAACTTGCCCTTTAAGTCTGGCGTTAGAAAGTGGTGGGGTCTGAACTGGGTACCACATTCTTTGCATTATTACCCCTATCCTGCTAGATTCTTTGTTCTAGAAGTTTTTATGGGGTACTTAAAAATGCAAGAGTGTTGGTACTCTGTTGCTGAAACAAGCTACTTCCCTTGAATTCTTTGCTCCTTAGCATCTCATGGGAATACAGCCTGTCTGTCTTGCTGCCTCCCTCCCTACTGGCTCTTCCTTATCTCCTACACAAAGAAAACAAAACAACTTCAGGGACTGAGAGCCTGTGTCCTCAGAGGTGGTGGACTTATTGCAAAACATGAGAGTTAGATATAGAGATGCTAGCAAAAAAAAAAAAAAAAAAAACGTTACTCCCAGAATATTCTCTGCAAATCAACAAGTAAAGGTCAGGGGACTGGTAAGGAGGAAAAGTTGTAACACGGTGGGTCTCCATCAGTCTGACCTGCTGGCAACAGCTTTTGTTGGAAATGCTCTTGGGAAGGAAAAGGCAGCATTAGGTGCTGACATTATAAGTCCAGTTATGAAAACAAAACAGTATCTGAGGAAGAGGAAATAGGAAATAAGTGAGGGAAGGGGTTTGGCAGATGCTACAGCCCTGAGAAGCCCTGTGCAACTGGTTCATCCATCTGCTACCACATCCATATGAGTCAGCCCAGGTCATCAATAAGACACGTTCGTGGCTGGTGTGAAGAGTCTCCGGCAATTCAGGCCTTCTAAATGGAACTAGTCTGACACTGCTGTCTATATGAAAGGAGGACTGGCACTGGATAGATACCTCAAAGACAACGTCCCCAAAGCCCAGGCCATGGTGATTTATGGTGAAAGGGTTTCTTAAAATGTCCATTTGGTACTTTAGTGACAAACACTCTAAGTGCAATGCAACATGATCCTCTTTCTACTAACTTTCTCAACACATTGGGTATTATTCTATCTTTGTGACAGACTCTTAACTTTCCACTATCATCTCATCCCTACCTCCTTCATGCTTTAGGATTTGCCTGAAACCCTGTTGGGGCACGTGCGACCTGCTACATGCTGAGGAGTGCATATCTCAGTAGTACTAAGAGTCGAGGGAGCATGTTATCTTGATCTATGTGAAGCATCTATCAAAGCACTTAGGTTATCTATAAAATCAAAGTGAAATTGATTCAGGAAGAAAATCTTGATGCGAAAGTTGACTCATCTGAATTTCTGGGCCCTGAGATATTTAATGGAAAGAGTTATAATGTGCAGAAGGACAAAAAGGGATTTTAAGTTGGCAGAGTGAGGAGAAATTGATAGTAACAGGTGTGAGGGACACATGTCAGGAGATCTCTGAAGAGGGAAATGGACCACACAGCATCATGCCCAGCTGAGCTTATGGGATCACGGTCAAATGAAGAACTTACAGATGAGAGTATGGAATCAAGGTCTGGGAGGGCACCATGGATATGCTTGAAGGGCATTACATTGAAGGCTTACCCCTTGAATGTAACTCTGAAGGCTACAGAGATGTGACACCCATCCACACTGTCTTTGATAACAGAAACACAAGTACCCCATGGGTGCCCTTGATCAACGGCTTGGTCCAAGACCTGATAAGCAGGGGATACAGAATGATCCCTTCCTAGAGTTTACACTGAAGAGCAAGGGCTGTTGGCCAGGAAGTGTGAAGTGCCTCATCACCCAAAACCACACAGAAACGGAATCTGTTCACCATGGCTCCCTAGCCTGTGTCCTGCTGTGTTTCCCTTGCAGGTGAACTCTAATCCAGGAAAGGGTGCGTTTTCTGCCTCACTGCACGCTCCCTGCACCACGAGTCCCTATCTCTGCTTCCAGGCAACATCATTTTCATTTCCAGAGCAAATCTCAAAGCTCCTTTTTTTCTTTTCTTGCTACAGCCGTAATTGGTGGCTTTACCAGAACCACTAAAAATCAAACAGAGCAGGCTTGAAAATCCCATGAGAAATTAATTTTCTATGTCTGCCAATATCTAGGATTTAGGGGACTTGTAAAGGGGCTGCTTGCACTCCATTTCTGATTGCCTGTGATTGAATGCTTTGTTCCCTACCCCAGGGCTCCAAAATCTCACAGAAGCCACATCAGGCACCGAGCTGAACTAGCTGGCAGAGCAGGCGCCTACAGGACATGTCTTTGCCCTGGGGCATGGCCTCTGGCCGGCCTCTCTCTAGGGAGCCTAGACCTACCTCTCAGCCGCTTCAGCCTCTGTTCCCGCCGTCTCCGCCGCACCACCAGCAGCAGCACGAAGAGCAGCAGCACGCCGATCAGGATGCAGGAGATGGTCACTAGGATCTTGAGCCCTTCATTGGTGGTCAGCCCTTCTTCGCTCTGGACAACTGACTTAATGAGTGGAGGGATTGTACCTGAAAGCAGGGCCACGATGTTAGATGGCTATTAATGGCGACGGCATGGTGGAGTTTTTAGGGATGACGGGTTACAGAGAAAACCGCGCGGTGTGATCCGGGGGTGTCCGTGTGATGAGAAATGAGGGGAACTTTCCCGTAAGTCTCTGTGGATTGGACTAGCTCACTCATCTTCCCTTGGTCCAGACTCCTAACTCACTCTCTGTGCTAGCTCCTCTGGAAAGGACTGCGATTCGCACAGATTTCTAGGATGCCACGGCCTGACAGTATGACACCTGGGCTCCTGCTCACCAAAGCCAATTCACCTGAAATCCAGTGCTCACTTGGCTGCACCCATAGTGCTTTTGCTAAAGGCTGTTTGAACAATAGATTTATTAACTGCATGGAAGATCTCCTGAGAGGAGAATGTAAGGAACACAAGCCTAAAGAAGGATATACCTTTAATCTTTTAATTATTCTCGATTTCAATCCCAGTTTCATAGCTGCTTTTAAGATTCCCAGTTTAGGGTAGAAGAGCAAAGGGCAGTTCTTCAAAGGGGGTCCTTCTGGGTCGCTGAAAAGGGCATTGCTAGCAGGGAATTGCTACACTGCTCGACAAAAATTCACATTATTTAGAACTGAAAGAAAAAATAGACATGAAGTGAACTCTGGGCTGTCTTAAGATGCTTTCTGCCCCAAGGATGAACATGCGTTTAGAGATCTAAACAGACATCTGTTTTTTATGGGACACACTTCTTGCCATTCTCTATTATATAAGGCATTCTACTCTCACTGCCTTTTCCATGTAAGCTAGGAAGCCAGGGCTTTAGGAAAAATAATGCAGAAATAATGCCATTTCCCCGAGAGCAAAGATGATCTTATCTTGCATTTAGTAATTGGAGCAGTGAAAATACAACCATTGGCCCTCTCTGATCTCTGCTGGAGCCAAACAGAGTTCTTCCAAGTAGGTCTGGTAGCAGACCTAAGCCTACAAATAACCAGATACCAAGAGAGAGATACAGAAGAGGCACCTGTGGGCTGGTCACAGGGCACCACAAGGACATGAAGAAAGTTTTGGCAAAGGAAATAGAGGAGACTCAGATAAAGAGGTGGAGGAGTTGGGGATCTGACCTTTGTTTTTCCTAAAATGAAAACAGTACCTCAGGCACAGTAACAAAAGACACTAAAGGTACAGAGCCATGGTGTCATTCCAGCGGTCTCTACTGTCTTCTTCAAGGCAATGTAAGAATATGGACTCTCATTTCTGTGAGATTTATTTCAGAAAATATAATGCAGCTCACATGCCCTTTTCTAATATGATCTTGAGTTAAGTAAGAACATCACACCTAGCTGGGCGGTGGTGGTACATGCCTTTAATCCCAGCACTTGGAAGGCAGAGGCAGGCGGATCTCTGTGAGTTCGAGGCCAGCCTGGTCTACAAGAGCTAGTTCCAGGACAGGAACCAAAAAGCTACAGAGAAACCCTGTCTCAAAAAAAAAAAAAAAACAAAAAAAAAAACAAAAAGAACATCACACCTGCCTTAGAAAGCTGTACATTTAAAGTATGAGGACTATCTGTGACAGAACTTCTAGTGACGGCATCAGATGTGAGCAAACCCTTCACGTGTGGATTTCAGCAAGCTCTCCAGCCTCTGCCCATATGGGAGCATAGCCATGGGCTAGAATGTAGATGTCAAAAGTGACAAGAATACTAACTACTCAACAGGGTATGTGCTTACAGGGCACTTGGGTGAAGCCTTCAATGTGAAGTACTTGATAAAAGCCATTGATCTTGGCCCCTTGTTTTGTGAGAACAGAGAATGAAGCCCCACTGGGAGAAGAACCTTAGATGTGAATGCTGCTCTACCTATGCATGACCCTTGAGATGAGACTTCTCTAAATAAAGATACACAGAGAACATAGTGACAAGGTAAAAGGGACGTGGGTCTTTGAAGGGGAGGACAGCTATGCAAAGCCACAGTGGCTGACCCAGTGCCAGAGTCGGGGGCCACAGCAGACCACTGGGTAGAGCTCCAACACCAGAAGGGCTTCTCTCTGGAGTCCTTCTTGCAGCAGTAAGAGGAGTTTGGTTCTATCTGAATAGCACAGTAGAAGCAATGACTGTAGACAGGAGGTAGACACAAGCCAGATTAGCACCACGTGCCAGAGAGGAAAGAATAATTCAGGGCCTACTGGGACCACAGGCCATTCTGAGGAATGGAAAGAATAGAAGACTCAGAGGGGAGCTGGTTCACAGCTTCAAAAAGCCTGCTAAATCACCGCTGGTGAGCCTATCACTGCTATTCCACAGTGAGGGTCACTGGGAGACTACAGAATCATCATGGACATGCTGCAAGCAAGGCCTCCCAGAAGACCTACTAACTAACCCTTAGAGCGGCTGTCTCAGCTTCGCTGAGCTGGGTGTTATCCAATGATCAGTAGGAGACACCCAATACTAGAAAAAGGGCCAGAATTTAAATCATTTGGTTTTGGGCAACAGAAGGTCAAGAGACTCAGGATGTGTGTACACGTGTATATATGTACACACATGTGAATGTATGTACACAGGCCCACTGTGACCCCACTCGCCACCCTAGTCATCTCAGTGCCCCTGCATCTGCTCAGACTAACCTAACTTCCTTTGCCATGGAAAACTGTTGTGCACATGCATTTTAAGGGTGTAATGAGAGCAAACAGAAAAGTTGTTGTGTGGATTGGGATGGGTGGAGGAAGGGTGGGAGACAACAAAAGCAGTGTTAGCTCACAGTCATTTGCAAAGCAACAGAACCATGAGGCAGAGTCCTTCAGCCCTGAGAGAAGCCACTCCTTCACTAAGACCCCCAAGGGAGTCCCCGTGGGTCCTCAGTCTTTTGTTAACGGACACACAGTGATGGTCATCTGTGTGCAATGGACTAGGAAGCCCACAGAGAGGGGCTCAGAGGCCTGAACCCTAACGGGCTCTAGGGGCACTGCTCACTCCGTGACAACGACAGTATCTCACAGGAGAGTGAGCAGCACACGTGTGCACATCCCTGAGCCACAGACAGGAAGGTCATGAAGCCTGGCGCTTACTGCCATCGTAGTTCAGCGTGGCGAAGTTGGCTTGCTTCTCGGCGCAGCCGGCACTGTTGCACACCCGCATCTGCAGCTGGTACCACGTGGCCTCTTGCAGGTCGTACAGGATGTAGGACTTGGAGAGGGAGGTCCTCTGAGCCGTGGTCCAGACTGTGGTCCCGAAGGGTCTGTACTCCAGAGTGAAGGAGGTGATAGGGCAGCCCCCGTCGTTCCAGCCAATCAGATTCAGCCTCACCCGGGTGGTGTTGATGCTGGCAAAGAGTTCTTGCTCCTTGGAGAACTGGGGTTCTGTGGGTGGGACACAGGCAGTATCACCTTTGGGTAAATGGGTGATGGCATCGTGTTCAGGTGCTCGCCCTCGGCTACTGTCTCTGAGAAGCCTAGCTCTGGCAAAGGCCAGATCACCAGTCATTCACAGCAAGAGCCAAACCTTGGGAACCAACAAGTTTTCCCAACCACGAGGGCCTGCGCCTGAATGGATATGAGCTATTTTTACACAGTGGAGAGTTCTCTGAAGAACAGCTCTACTTTTCTTATGTGTAATCCTCCAGTGGTTCACCCGCTACAGTGTGTGGAGCTGAATAATTTCCCTTCTCATCAGACACTGAGTGGAGATTTGGGAGAAGGCAGAGTGGGATTTGGGAGGGATCAGCAGCTCTCCTCTACAACCCAAAGGCTTTGTTCAGAGGCCTCTGACACAGCGGGTCTAATTCTGCACAGACCAACCCCTCATCCCATGAATCCTTGTCCTATAATTCAAGTCTCAGGAGCTAAATCCAAATATTGTGCCTCTCCGGCCATATGGGTTTGCTCCCCTGGTAGGAGAGGAAACTCATCAGATCTTTCTTCTCCTTGCTACACAGAGAGGGATCCATGTCCCCCCTTCTTTTCTACTGTTTCTGGCTGCACCCTTGACCTCTGGGTGCTACTTCCTTGGGCTTTATTTCTTTGACTTTCTACTTTATTTCAGATAAAATCCCAATTCCTTTTCAAGGGTTAACCTATTAGCCTAGTCGTTTCCAGACTGAAAAGCTGTGAGGACAGGGGCCTCATTTCATGACTACCCACCCTGAGCACTCTTGCTGAGACCTTTCATGGGGTATTTTTGTCCTTGAGCAGCACGGGAAAGAATGAGATGGGTGACCAGAAGGTTCTGTGGTCTCTGTCGTCACTCTGCCAGTCTCATTTCAGGAATAAGGAAATTAAATACCTAAGACAACTCATAAGTATTTGCTGAGTCTTTCATGATCCTCCCCCACTTCATGTTGGGCGAGAAGAGATAGAAAAAATGGCAGGCAGACAAACAGGAAGGCATCTCACCTTTTCCCAGAGTTTTCGCTTCAATGATTTCGCTGATGCGGCCTGGTCCCACTCCATTTTGGGCAGTAAGAGTGAACTTATACCACGTGCCACACTTGAGGTTTTCCAGGCGGTAGGAACGCTCACTGGGGCTGATGGGAAAGCTACCCCACTGCTCGCTGTTGTCCTCGGAATACTGAAGGATGTAGCCTATCGGAATCGGGAAATAACTTCCTAGTTAGTGTTCTCTAACTCTGTGTGTTTTCAGAGAAGAGTAATTCTAATGCTTCCCGATCCCAGGAAATTTCCCCTATGTTGGGAGAAGTGCTGGGGGTGAACTAATTAGTGAGCCACTTGGGCTACACAAGTCATTATTGCTATGGTAACATTAGTGCACTCTTTCTTCCCATGCCCATTTAATACCATTTTGGACAGTACAGGGTGAGTACTAAGCTATCGAATATCTGCCCCAGATATTCAGATACACATCAGAGCGTATGTGTAAGTCTTTGGGTATAAGCTGAAGAGGCTATGTTGACAATGGGGGCAGAAGTGACAGTGGGAGCCTTCACTATTACCTCCTTCCTACATATTATTGGGGGGAACAGTTGCAACCACAGGGGAAATTGGCTCTAAGCTCTGTAGCTACCCAAACATTTCTATAGCAACCTGGCTTCTTCTCAGAGTGAACAGTCCATTTGACAATTCATTTCTCATCTCTCCCTAGAACCACCGTCTTCATGGTGTCTACTCTCACTGACCAGTGTCCATATCAGACATTGCCCTAAGCACCTTGCTTATGTCACCTTGCACAACGCCACAAACTGTGCTCTGACTCCACAGTGCCGGTAACAACAGAGGTGTGAGGACTCCTTGCCCGGGCATCCTGGAAACTCTTTCTCATATTCCTCATCACTGACATCTTCAGTCATGTTTCTGGAGTCAGATGGGTCTTCTTTGCTCTGTCCCTTGGTGCCTAGACTGTCATAATCTGACTTGTACAATGTCAGGGCCCTAGGGGACTAATATCTTCTATCTCTCTTTGGAGGGGGTGGGTTCCTCCTTTAACACAAACAGAACACTTCCCATCCACCACACTGCAGAAGTTCCATGCCCAAACTCGGATTCCCCAAGTCCCTCCCTGGGGTATCATGCAGCAGTGCTTCTGCATGCTGTTGTTATCAGTATCTTCCATAATCTTTCATCTGCCTGTTCTCTCTGGCTCCCTAAAGCCACAGAGCCCCCACTTCCTGGACCCTTTGCCCACTTTTGTGTTCCTGCCCTGAGTTCCCTCAATGTCACCCAATCTCGGCAGAAGATCTTTTCTCAGATCCCAGCCTCCACTCCAGATCACCCATATCCTGGGGACCGTGTTTAGCGCTCACCTCCTACCACAGAGGCCACTTCTATACCTAAGCAATCTGGCTCCCTGATTTCTATTCCCTGATGCAGCTGGATTCTGTAACATCGACATCCGTCAGTATAGGTGCCCAATGTATCATGCCCTCCGATGCCAGTGGCTTTGGGGACCACAATTTTCCAGGTATGTTCTGAATTTCCTGGGACGCTTGACTTGGAAATTCTTCATCAACCAAATTAGCTTCATTTCCAAGACCTTTTATGCTGGCAGCTACCCAGATCTCTCTCAAATTAGGATGCTAACAAAATTCAGACGATTTGGAATCTAGATCCTGGATTCCTTGAGCCCTTTTATTTTCTCCATGAGTTTTCCCTCTCCCTTCTGCAAGGCCATCTGAAGCATTTGAGCCCAGTTGTCCTGACCGGCGTCCGCACTGCACTCTCACAGACATTGGTGCCCCATGACCCTCTTCCCTCTCCAGCTGTCCAGCATCACTTTGAATTGCTGTAGCAATTTGACCACCACAATCAGTGCTGCATGGTATCTGCAGCTGGGTCCTGGTGGCTTCTTGGCAGCAGTGATCTTTTTTTCTCTGCTAATGAGTCCCTGTGCCTTGCACATGGCAGCCGCTTCAAAGCTGTCCCACGCTCCTCAAACCCACAGGCACAGCCTCACCCCTAATCATCAGCTATTTTTATAGAGTAACCTCACCTTTTTTCTTCCTGACAAAAATAAAAGAAAGAGACTCCCTTCAGCCAGCACCCAACAACTGGCTCTAGAAGACAGCCAAGTCCTGACTGTGGACACTTGTGATTTCTGGGGAGTGTGAGGATTCTCAGCAAGGCTGCAGTGCTGAGAATCAAGCTGAAGGAGACTGGATGCCATGCTCCCAGGAGCCAGAAGCTGGCTGGGTGCCTCATGGCTCCACCCTGCAATGCATGAGTCTTCCCATCTGTCTCCCAATCCTTGACCCTAAGTCCCATCCTCTTTTATGACCTCTGTTATGAATCGGCACTCATTCTCTCCCACCTCCTGCCTCTTCCTCTGGACAAGGGACTCTTTGCTTCAGCCTCCCTCAGACCTTGTTACAGTGCTCTGAATCCAAAGTCTTCCCGCAAACAGGTTGTTTTCAACCTGAACAGTCTGTGCCTTTGTACTTATGTACGGGGACAGTAACTGGTGAGTGGAAGTGATGACGCAGAGCTGACAAAATGTGGTGGGAACCTAACAGTTATTTGATGAGTATGCGGTATATTTATTACAGCTTTAATGACTTTCTTTCATGATTCTGGAAAGGAGAAAGGACCAAGGGGTTGCTAAAATTGGAAACTAGCGAGACCAGTGTAGCTTCTAGTGGAGAGAACTAGATGGCCTTCTGTTGTGGGATTTCAATCCCTTTAGCCAATGGCTTTTGGGGATTATGAATGCTAGGGTGTAGTTTTGTCTATGGAAATGACACTTTACAGCTTAGCTCTTGCCCTCTCTTGTTCCCGCGCTCACTTGGGCTGTTGGAATGGAGCAGGCAGCTTGCTCTTCACCCCTGGACAGAAGGACTGGACGAAGACAGCTAGATCAGTGGTGGCATCTAAACTGTTCTGTATCAGTGAGCATTTTTATTTTATACTTAAATAAATTGAGAACCTGTAACAGATTCTTGTGGTTTCCTGCTCTAGTCTTTATCATTTCCTTTTCTTTTATTTGTTAGTAGTCCACTATTAATTGTATTAACTATAGACTTATATATACTAGATAGTTTCGTACTGGGACTCCTTGGATAAATGATCCAAGTTTCAACAAACACCATATAAACAGATGCATGCTTCAGAAGCATGCAGAGATAATGGGAAAATTAATTTTCTGAAGTACTTGGGGAGAATAAACTATCACACAACAGTTATTTGATGAAGATGTGTCATTTTTTGGTCAGTGGATATTCCACAAAACAGTGATCTGGATGGCTGATCTCATTACCTCTGATGGAGCTACCCCCATTGTCTCCAGGGAGCCAGGAGAGGGTGATGGAGGAAGACGTCGTTTTGGATACAGTGAGCCGAGGCTGATCTGGTGGAACTAGAGAGGAAACAGTTTGTAGAAAACAAGAATTAGTTCTTCACATCTTCAATCCTCTGTAACAGTCATTTACCAAATCATTTGTAACAGCCATTGATTAAATATGCATTCTAGGTTGCAAACTAGGCAATTCATTTCTGTCAAAGTGTCTATTTCATTGATATCCCAGGCTAAAAAGACAGAATATAGTGAATCTGTTATTAAAGAAAAGTCAACCACATTTCTACCTCAACTTACACACAATTCATTTTCTCACCATCCTTAGACTCCTGAGTTGCTCATGACAGATTGAAATCTTTAAATTTACTGAGGACACAGGCACTAATTTATTCTGAACTTCAGTCAGGAAGTTAAGTGTAAATGATAGACACACTTGCTTAGTTATTCTGCTTTTCCCAAGAAAAAGGAAAGGGAAGATTCATTTAGCAGGAAGAATAATTATTAAAACTTCCACGTTTCAAGGAACAGCATACACACAAGCACATACACACAAACAAGCACATATATGTGCACACATATGCACATAAACAGATACAAACAAGCAGATACACAACTACACAAATACACAGACACATGCACATACACACATTTAGGCGGACACATGTACACACTGGCGCACATATACATGCACAAAGAACTCTGAAAACCAAAGCTGTGATGTGACAGTGGTTATGGTCATGTGTACCCAACCTCATGTAAGGATGGAGGGACACAGACTGCTAAACAATGGCCTTAATTCAATTCTGGACAAAACGCTAAATTGATTCACAATCAAATCATCCCAGACTTAGAGAGCACTCACAGAAAACATCCCTACTTCCTGGGAGGCAAGCCGGAAATGTTGACCCAAAGGCCTGAAACACTGACCCATTTGCTTAGGAAAAATAATTTAATGGTACCTTCAATAATTCCCTAGAACTATCCTGACTTCAATTAACTCAAATTTCAAGATAGATTATACAGTAATGTTAGAACATATGGTCCCTTGCCATCTTGTCCTGTACAGGAGAGTAATGATGGCATTTTCATTTGCTGCGATCTATTAACGTGACAATATCTGAATCCAAAGAATCACACGCTTTAATTTTCCTCTGATAAAAATATTCCTCCTTCAACTAAATCTGAAACCATTCAATTGCCATGTGGGTTTTGCACACTGATTTAATATCACATTATTTGAAAGTTGTTGTGTATATTTTTGTATGGCAATAAATTATTAAATGTCCTGCATCAAAAACAAAATATTAACAATTAGCTTAGAGCTTCAGTGGGCAACTCCACGAATGGCTGGAACTCTATGTCTCTTGTTATTCTACTTTGCTTTGTAGTTGATGCAAGATATGTCATTGTTTATTGGCTTAGTTAGCAGACATAAATGATCACACTCAGAGACTAACTTGCCACGAATGCTGTACTGGTTATACACACATGTGTAAACCATGCATGAGTTGAAATGACCAAGAATGGCTTTTTTAGAGATATTCACATATAGAAAGATTGGACATTTTATACATAACAAAAAAACAGAAGGACTTCACACATCACTTTGATTGGTTCAGTCTCTATCTTGCTAAATGAACATGGTATTTACCAAATAAAAACAGCAATGAGCTATTTCTGAGTTGGCTCAGTTTTGCTATCTGCATGTAGTAAAAGGCCACTCAAGAGGCCTCCAGCTTTGTACCTTGAACTTGCAAATTTAGGATGATCTCATCTGATCCCCAGTTGTTATTGGCGACACAGCTGTAATAGCCCGAGTCCTCTGCCTTCACTGTGCGAATGATGAAGCTTCCGTTGCTGAAGATGCTCCTACGGCCGTCAATCGTCACCAGGCTGGGTGTCCCGTTACTACCTCACAGGAAGAAAAATGCACAGATTAAAGAAATTACAACCCACATTAGCTGAGGTTGGCAAAAAGCATTAAGCCTTTCTCCGGAGCAAACAGCAAATTGCAACCTCAATTATTTTTGCATTATAAAATAACTTTCTTGTGATTATGTGACTAAACTGCTGACTAGTGGAGAATTTTTTTTTAATTCTTTCATTCAGAAGGTTAGAGCTGTGTCAATTGCCAAGAATTTAGCTCATCGAGTGGTCAGGTGCTCACGACTATTGTCACGTGCACATGCCTTCCTCTACTACTCAGCCTTTGGGGACTTTCTCACTGTGGCAAGAGTGAGAAACTCTTGTTGGCCAACTTGATCAAATCATGCATGGCAAACTAAACTTTGCAATCTTCTATAGACCTAAAATCACTTTCAAATCACAGTTCTTAATGAACTTAACATATGCAGAACAACAAGGCCTCTCCAGGGAACATGGAGCTGACCCTCCTGTGAAGAGTTCTTTGTCATCACAACCACAGTCAGGGTGGCAGCTTGTCCAGTTGAGTAGGGTCACTCCCAGGTAAGGCAGAGTGCCAGCTTGACCCAGGGAGCTTATGAATTTGCTTTGGATTAACCAACTTAAAATGCAACGAGAAAATTGCTCACGGGACCCAACCCATTATTTCAATCATTTACGCTTGTAAGTGCTTTTGTTTGAAAATAGGCACCCTTCTGAATCCGTTATTTTAAATCTCCATGCCTATTAATGAATGTTCAGCCTCTATTTATATCTGAAATTCTTCCCCTGCATAGTGATAAAGCATGTTTAAGAGACACGTGGACAGAACTCATTACTCTCCCTCTGTCTTGGTTTTATTATTATAGTAATCACTACAGAGCATGGAGAACCAGTTTTCCTGTTGGCTGAGTCCAAATGGGTTTGATTTCTTTATCTCAAGACAGGGTCTTGCAATGTGGCCCAGAAGGCTGTCCTTAAACTGGCAATGTTCCTACATTCACCTCTCAAGAGCTGGAACTACACGGGACTGTGTTCCATCTCTTATTTTGCTTTAATTATGTGTGTATGTGAGAAGAGGGGTGTGTAAACGTATTACCCATGGAGGCAAGAGGCTTTTGGATCCCCCTGGAGCTGGAGTGACAGGCGGTTATGAGGCACTGGATATGGGTGCTGGGTCCCCTCAGGTCCCCTGCCAGGTCAGTATTGAACTATCTCTCCAACCCCCGAATTCCATTTCTTAAAGTTCCTTCTGGGGGCATGTGCCTCAGGTTGTATTGTCCGTACTCTCTGAAGAAGAGAGAGCTGGAAAAGCTCCTGATGACTTGAGCACCTTGTCTCCATGCCTTGGCAACACAGAGCAAACGCCACTGCGATAATTGGTGGTCTGGTTCCTTTCCTCACAAGGGTTTTCATAGATTTCTGGTTCTGGATTGATAGAGGACTAATACATAGAGTTGATCAAAGCCGCATGCTTCTAAGCAATTTCTCCCAATGGAGTTGCAATGCTTGAAGGTTGGTGCTGGCTGCTCTTTCTACCTCATTTCAGGAGAGTGCTAGGTTTCTTCAGTTTCTATTAATATGCATAAAGTAAGGGGTTGGCATGTAACCCAGCAGGTAGAGTGCTTCCCTAGCATGTATGAGTGATGCTTTGCACTAAATATACTGGGCATGGTGGCATATGCCTTTAATCCTATGGGATTACGGGGAAATGGAGGCGGGAGATCAGAAATTCAAGGTCATCCTTAATCATAGAGTTTGGGGCTGGCTAGATTAGACTACAAAAAATAGTATGTATGCATGTGAACATGTATGTGCACGTGTGAGCGCGCGCGCACACACACACACACACACACACACACAGTAAAATCACACTGACTTAGTCCAAGGCTTCCTGACATACTGGCTAAGAGTTCGCTAAAAGGCATATATTGGGTTACTGGTTACCTGTCTTTCATCCACTTTACTGCAGGTGAGGGGTCTCCAACAGCTTTACAGGGCAAGACGATGTCCTTCATCCATGGAGTAGTCACCGTCCCACTGAAGGTGAGGATCCGTGCAGGAGCTATAACACCAAAGAGCAGACTATCTACACAGAGCCAAGGTGATCTTCCCAACAGAGTAGCCCCCCAGAGCCAATCAACACTGCAGCTTTGGTGCTATTCTCTGGCGGCTGCCTTATAAGGGGGTTTCCTTGTAAGGACATTTTCACGGATGAGAGTTCCCCATTGCGGCATCTTTTTCTTCTTCTAATGAAATATTAACAGTATATTAAACACTCGGTGTTTCATAAGCCAGGCAACTGCAAGCTGTGAGTTTCTATGAGCTCTATTATTTTTTCAAAGCACTTTATGAAGTGATTCATCTCAGCCCCCAAAACCACACGTTAAAATATACTTTTAATATCTGAGAGAATAGACACCATAAAACATAAAGTCCAACAGCCAGGGGAAGTAAATCTGGACCAAAGCTATTTACTGGCTGTATGATACTTTGTCCATTTCTCCACACAGTTTGGTCTTAAACTCATGCACACATTAAGGAAAGGGGACAGTTAAGGGTGGTTATTTGGCTTGGGACAGTGGTTTGATCCCAGCCACTACTTTCGGTGATTCTCAGGACTGGAGAACAATTCCCACATGTACCACCCTCCAGGCACTATGTCCTGGTGCACAAACACCAAGGCAGAGGCTGTCCTTTATTTGAGCCAGCATGCTTGGACATGCACTGGAGGCTGATTACGCAGAAAGGAAAGGCAGGTTCTCCTTGGAGGAGCACAACCTGGCTAGATACTCAGACATGGAGATCACAAGTGGGAAGCCCCAAACTTACTCTGGAGCCATACAAATGGGACCAGAGCTGCTGGGAGACCTGCATGGTTCTGGGCTTAATTCTGGCCACAGGAGGGGAGGGCAGGAACCCTGGGATCCCTGGAAACGAGTCTGGCACAGATCACTGAGTATTACAAATGACAAAAACCATTCCTGTTTCCATTGTCCTGAACATGGTGGGCCAAGGCCAGCTGCCTCAGAAGCTGGGCTTTGGTGTGAGGAACTTTTCTAGGCTGTCTGGTCATGTGTGTGAAACAACTCGTTATGGAGGTGGGGATGGTCTAAGGCTGGGGCAGCTTTTACCATCAGTCTTGGTGGGGTTTTGGCATTTTTCTTTCCCAGTCCCCCAAGACTGTTTTTTATATTTAGGAGGATGCCCTCAGGGGCAGAGTGTGGACCGTTAAAGCTTTTAAATGGCCATTCACTTTCAGGAATACACATACACACACATTTATACACACATACATGTTGTATATATGTGTAAACACATATTCAAACTCATGGTATAAAGAACTGTGTAGTCTTAAAGAAGTCAGTAATAAGAGAAACTGGAGGGGTATAAATGGCAGCTCTGTCTGTATGTACCCTTCACTTCTGCAATATGAAGCAGTTCTGAAATAAAGTTTATCACAGCCAGACAGAGACAGAGAGAGAAGTGAACACACAGATACACACACAGAGAGATAGACACACACACACACACACACACACACACACACAATCATGCATGAGCTTCCCTCCTTAAATCTCCTACAGTAGCTTTGCATTTCACTCTGAGTGAGGTCTGAAATCCCGAACACAATCCCGATGCCCTTGCAAGCCCAGGCCTATTTTCCTTTGGTCTTCAGTGTATGCTGTTCCCTCTGGCAGCTCCACTCAGTTCCGACACTGCTGCTCCTGAGAGCTGACTTTTAATTGCAGCCTCCTGACCTCACTGGTTTCATCTTTACACGTCACCTTTATCTTTTCCAGCTTTTACGCATGCCTGTGGTCCTCCACTGTCTCCCCACTTTCCTTGGGGTCTCATGCCCGTGGGCCTCCCTCTACCGTCTCCCCACTTTCCTTGGGGTCTCTTGCCCGTGGCCATCCACTGCCTCTGCACTGTCCTTGGGGTCTCATGTCTGTGGACTTTCACTGCCCCTGTACCTCTTGTGGTTTTTCTGGATAACACTTGGGGCAGTCGGCCATTGTGCGTGGGTTTTTTGATGCTGCTTACAGACCATCTCCCACAAAACTGTGAGCTCCCTGAGGGTAGGGGTGTCTGTTCTGCTCATCCTTAGAAGAAACGGTTCTGCAATAAGCAAACCCTCCTTCTTCTGAAACTCAACTTGACACTATTTCCCAGCCTTCACTTCACATGAAGTGAGCCCTCCAGGTGAACTGTCTTGTCAGAAGTCTCTGTGTTGGGCTCCGCTATTACAGGGACAAACTGCCAAGATTTAGGAAGATTTGATTCCACAGTCAAACCTTGTGAGCTAAGTTCCTTGTATTTCAGTTAGTGTCTAATGTATAATGGGCATTTAAATAATAATTTGTTTGTTTGGTGGTGCCAGGGACCAATGCAGAGTTTCACACATACTTTACAACTGAGTAGAATATTGCCACTCCAGGGATTGATTTATAAAATAACTTCAATACAGCCTCTCCTGGTCAGTCCCACTCCAAAGGAGCCTGTTTTTATCTGAGCCCCATCTGACAGTGTAGGATCACCCCTACTTCCATCAGGCTGTCTGCAGATGGGAAGGGCCTGCAAGAATTCCTACCTATTTATCATACAGGGCAGAATTTATAGACCATGCCTTCCCTGGACTCCACTGCTTTCTGGGTGTTAGAAGGTGGATGTGGATATCATCACGGCTAAAGAGTACAACAGACAAGAATTCCAATGTATTTATTTTTTAAATTGATGTTTTACCTGTCTGTGTTCGTATTGAAATTGTAGAACTTTCTTCTTCCCTCACCGTCTTCAGCTGCCCATGCATTCCCCAGCTACCGTAACTACAAGCATGTTACTAAGGACTTTGGGAGGTAAAAATCAGGAGTTTGGAATGTCTGGGTTTTTCCTTTCAGTCTCATTAGACATTTTATTAGAACTATATTGCCAATGCAGAGTCAAGAGGCATCGCCTGACGAGACTGGAATTAGGATTCGTGGAAGTAGACTCTGCAAAGGCTGACGTGATCACACTGTGGGAGCACTTACAACCAGCACAGCGAACAACATGGCTGTCTGCTTTCGATGATCTGCTGCTGTTGCGGTGAGACAAGGCCCCAGACTGATGTATAAAGATGCTCTGGTCCTTACTGACTCCAAGTCTCTTTGTTACTTTTGTGGCATTTCACAAATGAACTGTGTGGTGGTTTGCATGAGAAACATCTCTCGTGGGCTCATGGATTTGAATGTTTGGTCCCCAGTTGAAGGTTCTGTTTGGGGAGTTTATGGAATCCTTGACAGGTGAGGTCTTGCTGGAGGATATACCTCTGGGGTGGGCTTAGAGGGTTTATAGCCTCATCTACTTCCAGTTCACTCCTGCTTCATGCTGTGGCTGGAGATGTGATCTCTCAGCGTTCTGCTCTGGCCGAGAAAGGCTACCCCTCCCTGCCAGGATAGTGGCTCTCTCTAGAACTATAAACCAAAATAAACTCTTTCTTCCATAGGTTGCTTGGTTGCTTTGTCATTGACTAGCAATTAAGAACAGTTAATCAATAGCTGGTGATTCTTATGTTTGTAACATTTCAAATCTCACACACTGTGAAACAGGCATGTCTTTTTAATAAGTGTGAACCTGATTGAAAAAAGAACTTGGAGAAAATGGCAGGTAGTGATTATCACTAATTCTCCCAAACACACTTATAGTATATGAAGCCTGAATCAGCCTTTGGCGCTGTGTTCACCACGAGGGAAGCTGCTTTCACAACTGGTACACAGAGCCAGAAACTGACTAGCTGGAATATGATGCCCACAAGCTTTCTTTCAGGGAAAGCAGGGGCCTAACAACCATTGAGCTGTGCTGGGCTTTAAGGTTCTTCCACTCTGGTTCACGTACCTTTAGCCAGGGGCTCGACAGTGATGATCTCACTGCTGTTGCCTCGTCCGGCTGACGTCACCGCCACCACCCAGACACTGTATTGTCGATTCCGACTCAGGTTAGGAATTCTGTAGGAGAACGAGTCAGGGGAGGCTTCGAACTCGCTGATGACCTGTGGGAAGACACAGACATGTACCCTTACTCACGGAAGCAAGCAGTACAATGGCTTCCTAAAAGATTGCTCACCAATATATTGCCCATCCTACCAGGGGAAGCCTAGACCACGGGGCACCCTCTGAAGGGCTGGATTTTCAATGTAAACTGTAATTAATTTATTTAGGTTTCCCACAGTCTATGTCATCTGCACACCTTTGATGACCACTCACCCTTTACTATTTGTCACCAAAGAGCACAAAGATGTCAACTGACCAGCTAACTTCAGCTGCAGGGGTGTTTAATTTTGAGAACGGCTTCAGGGTACATGGGGGACCCAAGAGGAGGAGCCTGGAAGCCCCACAAAGCTGAAGGGACATACCTGAACAACAGTTCACAGGACCCAGGACTAGAAATGGAAAAGGTGGACACAGAGAGGATTCCCGGGACCCAGGGAGGTTTTATGTGGGGGTTCAGTGAGCAGATCTGCACACACATGGGCAGGGGAAACCCCTCAGGGCAGGGGAAGAGCCACCTGAAAGGCTCTGAGTCAGAGCTCAGCAGTCACAAGGTCTGGAAATGCTGCCAGCTCCCAACACTACATATCAAGACTGGGAGCACTGGCATAGGACATAAGGGTTTTACCTTGAAAGTGAGGTGTAGGGTTAAGACAGCCCCTTTAGGGGGCGGGGTTTGCCTCCAGCGAATGCCTACAGATAAATGGGCGCACGGGAGGTGGCTCCGGCCCTTTTCCTTCCTACCTCCTGTGCCACGCGGGAACTTTGGTTCTGTAAGTTTATCATTAAAGTGTGAATATTCTTTAGTATCTGCATTGCATTTATTTACGCCGATACAGTGAGGAATATTTATCTTAGGATGCAACAGTAGTCTAGTCTGGTCTACCAGATACAAAATCAAGAACCAGAAAGATGAAATGATCACTCAGTAACAATCACACCTCAGAGTGGCGGTGAATAATATTTAGAACATCTACCACTCAGGTAGGTAATTTCCCTAATAACATCCAATAAAAAAACTTGCTATATGTGAACACCATCAACATTATTACATAGATGAGTGGATAAATAAAATGCATTATGCTCAATCCATGCACAATTACTCAGCCATAGAAAAGAACGAAGGGATGCTAAATATTACAATGTGAGTGGATCTTGAAAACACATTGCTAAGTGAGAAAAATAAATCATAAATTACCACACAAATTTAAATGTCCAGGATAGACAATATACAGCCAGAAAGTTGAGGAATTTTCAGGGGCATTATGTGCAAAGAGAATAGGGGGTGACAGCTTTTTGTTTTTGGAAGAGAGGATCCTTCTCAAGTCAGAGAAAGGAGGGGTCAAGGGATGCAGAGAGCACACTGAACTGCCCACTTTGAAAGCATCGGATCTGGGCTGTGTAAATGACCTCTCAACAAAGCCAAAACAAACAAACAACTTCCAGGAGGAATTCCAGAATATGGAAATCATGAGTCGTGGAGAAGTAATTACATATACTAAAACTGACCCACAATCAACACAGAATGATTTTTGCAAAGTCAACAAAGCAGTTTTATAATTGTCTTATAGCAAAATTATAGCAAAACTCAATAGGTAAAAGCTTAAACTGAAAGGTGGAAGGCATAAAGGTGCTTGCTAAACTCAAAAGACATTGCACCAGTTCACACACAATGTGCAGCGCTGCCTGGACTTGCTAGGTCATAAAAGAAAAGGATGGCATGAAGTTGGGAGGGGGTGTGAAAAAAATCTGGAGAAAACTGAAGGGAAAATGGAGGGCAAATACATTTATTTCACTGTGTGAAATTAGCAAATATAAGGAAAATATAAAAACCACAGAAGACTAGACTGTTAGCAGATAGGATGTTTTGGAGAAACCCCTAGTGAGCATCATGCTGTCATAATAAGTTAAATGTTGGCAAGCAAGACAAATGTATAAAGCAACAGCATGAACCAGCTACAGGAGGGTTTCAAGCAGGGTACTTAAGGAAGGGTGAGGTGTGAAATAGTAGTTAATGATGTGTTACATTCTTTGATGCTGTGAAATATTTGATTAATTATGCAAAGTTGTGTTGCAATCTTTTATATTGCATTTTTTTAACCACTGTAAAACTATGTTATTTTGCCTGCCTAAACCACTTGATTGGTCTAATAAAAAGCTGAATGGCAATAGTTAGGCAGGGAAGCCAGGCAGAGAGAATAAATTGAAAAAGAAATGAAAGAGGGAGGGGCAAGAAAGGAGAAGGAGAGAGGACACCAGGGGCCAGTCACCCATCCACACAGCCAGTCACAGAGTAAGAGGGAAAGAAAGATATACAGAATAAAAAAAGGTTAAAAACCCCAGAGGCAAAACATAGTTAAAGAGAAATGGGATAATTTAAGATAAAAAAGTTGGGCAGAAACAAGCCAAGCTAAAGGCAGGTATTAAAAAGGAAGAATAAGTCTCTGTGTATTGATTTGGGAGCTGGGTGGTGGATCCCCAAAGAGCAGAGAACAAAAGGAACAATCAACTATGGAGGAAATGTGGGGAGAAAAACTGTGGAGAAACGCTGAAAATCTTCCAAACTTGGGACCCAGAGACACAAGAATCGTAATGAGCTTCAGCCAGAAAAAATAAAGTCACAGAAACAACAGCAGGGCAGATAGATCTTAATCCAACCACTCAAGGCAGCCACCAAGAAGCAGTTCAGAGACACCCAGAGCTGTGTGTAGTAACAAAGAGGCTGGCCGGTGATGTCATTCCAAAACCAATTCAAGTAAGATGCCTGCAGGACAAACTTTTAACCAAAGGGAAAAGAATCAAAGTATGCATTCAACATTCTCCATAATTAAAAGTAAAACCTTTCTCTGTCTCCTTTCATCGCCTGATGAAGGTTAATATTCAGGAGGATGCCTATATGTTTTTCTTTGGGTTTTCCTTCTTATTTAGCTTCTCTAGGATCACTAATTATAGGCTCAATGTCCTTTATTTATGGCTAGAAACCAAATATGAGTGAGTACATCCCATGTTCCTCTTTTTGGGTCTGGCTTACCTCACTCAGGATAGTGTTTTCTATTTCCATCCATTTGTATGCAAAATTCAAGAAGTCCTTTTTTTTTTTACTGCTGAGTAATACTCTAATATGTATATATTCCATACTTTCTTCATCCATTCTTCCATCCTACTGCACGTACTGGCTTTGTGGGAGTCTAGGCAGTGTGGATGCTCACCTTACTAGACCTGGATGGAGGTGGGCGGTCCTTGGACTTCCCACAGGGCAGGGAACCCTGATTGCTCTTTGGGCTGATGAGGGAGGGGGACTTGATTGAGGGAAGGGGAGGGAAATGGGAGGCGGTGGCAGGGAAGAGACAGAAATCTTAAATAAATAAATAAATAAATAAATAATAAAAAAAAGTAAAACCTTTTCAGATATTTAAAAGACTAGATGACTCTCCAGGAGAGACACAGCCTGGGAGATGTTAAAGGGTCCTGCACACAGAAGGAAAAATTGTCCCCACTGTTGCAAACCCTCAGATGCCTGGGCACACATTAGCCTGCACCACGTGACGTGTGAATGTCTGGGTCTACACTGGCTGACCCCGGAAAACCCCATGGCCCAGTTTTCAGGTCAGGGGGATTTCAGCTTGATTCTTGACAAGTTTATGTCAGAACTCAGAGGCTGTGTGCACGTACTTGCCTTGTGTGATGTTCCAAGATGAAGCTGAAGCCAAGTTTTCAAGCTTAGTGATGTTCAAGGGAGGGAAAGGAACCAAATGAGGTCCCTATTTGAAAAATAATTTTTCATTATTTAAATTATACTATTGATAGTTAAAAATAATAGCTTGGCCAGAATTTACTTTATGGATAAAAGTAAAACACAAGATAATGGCTTGGTGGTGGGGAGTGGAAACAGAAAGCTGTGTCAGAGGTGCACTGGAAGCTCCTCTGCTGTGGGTGAGGTATACGGTGTCAGGAGCAGACTATGATAAATCTGCTCAAGGCCAATCTCAAAGAAACCGCTCAAGTTTCATCCTGAGGAATGAAACAAAGCCAACGGGCCTGTCAAAAAATTAAATTGGAATTTTAGGAACATTTAAGCCATTCAAAGGCAAGAACAGAGCAAGAAGGAAAGGGAGCCTGACCAGACCTTTCAAACCAAGGAGCTCAACAATCACATCCATAAGTACATTAAGCAAGTGAGGTTGAGCCCCTGAATTTAAAGATAAAGGTTTTTCTACCTGATAAAGGGCCACCAAAAGGGTAAAAACAAACCAAAATCAAAATAAGCAAACAAACACAAACAATATCCTATAGAAACCACCAAAGTTAACCTGAAACATTTTTCTTAATATTAAACACAATAGATTCAAGAATAAAGCATTCTTGACTGATAGTGTTTAGAAGCCACTTTGACACTGATAAGGAAGTCAGCTCACCAAGAGGCTAGAGCCATCCTGTACCTTTGTATACTTAATAGCAAGGCTCGAAAACACAGACAAATCAAAGGAACCACAGAGCCATAGACCAAGGTAGCTCTCCACTGTTCCATGAGCAGCCATGAGAAACAGGTGATATTAGGACTACACACACCTTACAGGTAAGAAACCTGGAGGGCACACAGAGGTCATAGCACCAGACCAGGCAAGTGAAGAATTGTGCTTCTCATGTCCAAATTCATGCTCCCTGCAGTCAGTTATGACCAACTCTAGATGCGCTCTCTCAATGCTGCTCGATGCTGTAACAACCTCAAGCTCCTGGGTCAGCCATGAAGGAGGGACGCATTAGCGCTGCTATTAAACCAGTTTGCTATTAAACCAGTTTAACTGTATCTCTTCATTGTTTACCGAATCCCATAATCCCCTAAGCAAAAAATGTCAGAGACTCGTTCACAGTCAAACATTCAGCTTACAGGTAAATTTCTCTGGACAGAGAGAGGGAAAAGATTGGGCCTCTGCAGGGGTTACTCAGTGGTTGCATGCACTCATTAGTGCACACTTGGATAGACACTAGTATTAACTATACC